TAAGTGAAAATTCTTAAAGATCCAAATAAAAATAAATAATTTTAATATTAGAACAATTACATAATAAATAAAATAAAAGTGATATTTGAATAAAAATATATTAATAGTTAAACAGAATTTTTAAAATTATTTAAAAACTTTTAAAAAAAATATGTGGCATTTGCTGTGAATAAACTAAATTATTTAAACAATGTTTTGGAAAAACGCCATATATGTCATTGAACTCTTCTATTCTATTGACTTCAAGAATCTAAATCAGAACATTAAATTTTGGCAAAGACCAAAATTTCATTTGAATTATTACAATACAAGTAATTACAAGAAAAGAGAAATAATTTTTCTCTGAATTGAATCTTTTAAACATAAAAAGCAAATCTAAATTTGATATACATCTGATTTCTTTTAAAGTTACATAAACCTCTTCAGAGATTATTGCTTTCTATGAAATGTGTATAAATTTTTTAATTCCCATCTTCAGAATATTTTTAAAACATTAAAACAATTTCTTTAAAAACCAATTGTTTTATCTTAAAATTTTTAGTTAAGCTTTAATGAGTCTGAATACTAATTAGGAATATTAAAAAAACTATACATTGCCCTGCAGTAATAAAAAGACAGAAGTAATTAAATATAAGGAAACAGACTATCAAATTAGAGTTGATTATAGCTCTAAGAAGTTAGACATAATAAGTTATTAGTATATTTAAATGTACTGCTTCAATAAGCTAAAAATTATTACTATTTTAGTGTTTCTCTATAAATATTTGTCATTGTATATTTGCACAACAAAATGAATTGTATATTTTACTGGAAAACATATAAAAGTATGATTTTAAAGAACAAGTTTGTATCTGATGGTTTAAAATCAAGCATACCATAATTTCATTTTAATACATAAAATTTAAATTATTTATTAAAATGTATGTATTGCAATAATTCATAACAAAATATANACGATACAATAGTCTTTGTTAGGCTTAACATCGACGAAAATTCAACGCAAAGCGACACGCAACGGAGAAAAATTTTGACATCGGATACGTTAAACTATTTTTTCGTACGTAAATCAGTTATCCGAAATATCAGTTATCCGGACAACCCCAGTCCCCAATTGATTCGGAAAATCGACGCTCTACTGTATATGTTTTTAAAAACTATTGATTTAATGGACTTTTGGCAATAGCAGATACCTCTTTCTCAATTAGTCTGTTAAATTGAGAACCTGCTTTAAGGATTAATTTTCTAGAATGTCTATTATTAGAAACTACCTAATAATTGCAATTTTCCAATCTTTGTCAATTTCTCCTTTATAAAATGATGCATATCAGTTCTAAAAAAAAAAATAACAATGAAATTTTTCTCATTACATACAATGAATTACAAATGAATTTGTAACAAATTGCAGTTAAATAGAGTATATTTGTTTATAATTTTGCTATTAATACTTTAAGATGAGAAAACCCATTCTATAAAATTTGGACTTATATATGCACTGTACAATCTGAATAATTCAGAATTACTGCTGCTTCTAAATTATACCAAAAACTAAAATTTCATGCAAATGTTCCTATTATCTGTTATGTTCATTTTTAGAATAACTAAAATATAATGTTATCATAACATTTCTAAATAAAACACCAAAGTCAAAGTTTATAAAATTTGAAATAAAGTGATTTTTACAAATCATTAAGGTTAAAAAAACTTTGAAACATCAAAATTAACTCCACAATAGAATAAAACTTTTTTAATATCAACAGAGAACTTAAAATTAATAACATTTTATTAAAAGTCATATAATCTTTATTAATAGCAAAAATATATGATTTTTAATCAGGAATATATTCTTACTGTAAATATTAACAAAAATTGTTGTCCTCTATTGTTGTGACATATCATAAAATAATTCAAAAAACATTAGAATAACTAAAAATACTACATGTAACTTTAAACTTAATTTATTTTATATACTAAATCTAGTTTATATAAATATTAGTAAAACAAAACACTTTAATATTAAAGTAAAATAAATTTGAAGAAGTTAAAAGTTCTAAAAAAAGCATGACGACATCAATTTATAAATTAAATATGCATATTTTGGCATCCATTCATAACATTTATCACTCCTTTACAGAAAAAGTGGAGCTAATTATTCTTGTCTATAAAGATAGCTTAAGAAAATATTACATGTATATGATACCATTCTGCATAGACCATATTATATTAAAAGCACTGTTATTTATAGAATTAAAATGATTAAGAACAACCTTTTGAATAATTCAATCATTGATAAAACCACAAAACTGATCTGTAGGTAAAAGTATTTTTAAAAAATTCTTGAAATATCTTAATTTCTGTTAACCTTTGATAATTTTACAATATTTCTATTATTATGGAATAATGATAATTAAAGTTGGAAAGTTGAGACCTTCCATTTTTGTTATTTGTGCAGGGAAATGTTTTGAAGTATCACAGGATGGTTCTTCATTAAGTTTATGATGTATGGAGGGAGTACTAATTTCCCTTTTTTTATTGCTGAGCACTTTGCAAAAAAAAAGGAAAGTATCACTTAAATTAGATATTTTATGTATTTTCCTATTTATAAAATTGCTTTAATTAAAATTTTTTATTAAGTACTAAATTTTTAATTAATGTATTTTTTGATATTTATATAATTTTTAAGAAGGTATTTAACAGTCCAATGCTAACAAATTTTGAAATTGTCAAAATTAAATTCCAAATAAAATTCATCAAGTTTGATTCAGTATCAACAGTTTAAAAATTTCTAACTAATCTTCTTGGATTCTGCCTATTTAATGTTCAGAAATTGAAATTATGCTTTTGACGGGCTGGCAAATTTCAACTGCATTTTGAAATTCAAGATTGTTTACAATTGAAATTACAATTTTAAATTTCAAAAATTAATCCATCCCAAAATTTTTAATTTCTTGCTGAGATTAGTGAGGAGGGAAATCATTTGAGTAACGATGATTTTAGAAACTACAAAACACACACAGAAAATAGAGATACCAAATGTAGACCAAGTTTCTGCACCATTTTATCATATTGTAAGTACTGTATATATATATACACTTTTTATACACCATATTGACTTGAATATTAGTCAAAGTTTTTTTTAAATCTTAAATTAATAACATTATATGATTTTTAGATCTTAGAAATGAAATAACAAACAGCTTTATTTCAACATTACTATAAGTACTGTAATTTACATAGTTATTATTTATATAGAATTTTATTGATTAATAATCTACATTTTGACAATATCAATTACCTATTATCAATTATTGCACAAAATCATTTATATTGATTACAGATTTCATGATATCAAACATCACAATGGAATCATAATAAAGCTGATTCCATTATTCACAAAGGTGAGGAAGAGATATTATAACTGGTGATGATATGATAGCTTACTGGTTTAAAACAAATGGAAAAAGATACCAAAATCAAAACTAAAAGGAGTTAGTAAATAATTCTAAAGAGGATGAAATTACAACCAATGATAGCATTTTCAGATGTGAATCAAATCATCCAGCATTCAAAAACTTTCTAGAAGGTATATTAATTAAACACTTAGCTTTTCCTTAGCATGCTTTGGTCAGGGTTTATGCGCAGCCTGCATAAGAAGTAACTTTAAAAAAAAATACAGGAAATAGTTCTTTTTATTTTGGATGGAACAAATGTGCTAAAAAGATACATGTAGAACATTCTTGTTTGAATTGTCCTGACTCCATGGTCTGTTAGCATGAATTATACTAGCTTCCCTGTTGTTTAGTTCATTTTCAAACTATTTTTCAGTGAATTTTTTTAACTTATTAGACTCTTAACCAACATTTAACATAAGAAAATTAGATTAATTATTGTGTATTAATAATTTGTTCAAAGTTTTAGATAAGCATTACTGATAAATTTCTATCATGTCAAAGACAATAATCATATACTGTATTAGAAATTGTAATTTAATTCACAAGAATAGACTAATGTCAGTAATAGAGTATATATGAATCATTTATGATTTAATTTCCATAATATAAATATTACTATTCATTTTTATGACATTTCTGATAAACAAAAGTGACATTTTTCACTTGCTAGTTGATATTCATAATTCTTGCTTAAATATAAATTTGTTATAAATTTATTATTTAATAACTAGGCCTAAATAAAGCAAATAAAGTCATATTCTAGAAAATCAAATATTTTTTAATTGACAGCAAACTGAATAGCTGAAATTTGAATCTAAAACTTGATCACTGAATTCAAAAACTTTATTGTTAAAATATTAGATTAAAATAGATAATATTGATTTCTCTTGATTGTTTATTTCCATAATCCCCATTGTTCAACTTCTCAATAACAACAAAAGAATAACAACAACAATTACAGAATTGCATTATAAATATCTTATAAAGTTAGTAATACTTTTCCTTGAAAATAAACTATAAAAATAATGTTTCTATGCATTTATAGCTAGAACTATTTTAAGATGATCAATACAAAACCTTTCTCACTTATTTCTAGCCATTTATACACGAGTACTAATGCTTTCGGCCTTCTTAATAGGCCTTCTTCAGGTACACTGTGGTCTGTTAGAGTGTCAGTTGGTAGAAGTTGAAACATTGGCAGTGTTTAAACTTCTACCAACCGACACTCTAACAGACCACAGTGTACCTGAAGAAGGCCGAAAGCATTAGTACTCGTGTAAAAACGGCTAGAAATAAGTGAGGAAGGTTTCGTATTGATCATCTAAAAATAACGTTACCATCTACTAAAAAGTTATGAAAAAGAATACATGTTATTACAAATTATTTTTTCAAAATTGTAACTAAAAAGATTCAAATTTATTCTTTTTAAAAAAAAACATAAGCTATTAATTTTTAAAAGTTTTATCATCATCACAATATAAAATAAATACACATTAAGCATAGTTACTGCATGACAATTTATTTAATCATACATACTGAAATTAAACTTACTTTCTGCAATGGTAAGACTAGAAATGCACCACCACCAGCTGCTTCAATTATAATTGCCATGAACTTTGGATTCAGGGCACAAAAATTGGAATCCCATGAGTTTTTAGTTATTCTGATATTGTCATAACATTGTTCACGTTTCAAAGGTTGGCCAAATACATGGCGAAATTTACTATTTCTTACAATTCGAAATGACATCTGTAAAAAAAATAATAATTCATAATGTATATGAAAAAAGATGAATTCTAGATTAAAGAATTTTACAATTGAATAATTAATTCATTCCTATTTCCATTTCAATATAAAAAAAAAACTTTTCAAATGAAATATGCATTTAATTTTAAATTTCACCATTTAATAACAATAATTATATATTTTGAATGCAGTTAAGAATAAATTAAATAAAATCTTTATATAATAATTTATTCTTTTTAGGGTTAAGCTAATTAATATAAAATAATATAATATATATTCTTAATAATCTTCTATTATCCTTACATAACTATTTAAAAAGTTTAGTTAGTTTTATAAAACATGCAATATCTTTACATTATTGTGTATTGACCCAGTTATGATAAGCTAAGCGAAGTTTATCTGATTCTGTTGCGCAAAAAAGAGAAGTTGTGAGAAACCAATCAATATATTCATTAATCTTAGAAAGGATTCTGCATATATATTTATCAACTTTAATAAGAAGATAGAGGATGTGTTATGCCTACTTAACAGCTTGTGGTGTCAACGGTCATCAACTTACCCTCCCGGTAAAGTGAATATGAACTTGTGCTGTACGAGTGTCATTGAATATTTAATGTTGACTGATGAGGGGCTATACGCCCAAAACGTGTAAAAGTACCCGTATAAACTGAATAAAGAGGAAAAACGCCAAGTGTTTTAATAACAACACAGTCTTGTGTTCAATAGTTAATCTTTACATTACTTAAAAAACTAAAGATTGGCTTATTAAGGATTTAAATATTCAGTTTCATATATTCCTCATGATGTTCTGATCCTATGACTGGATAGTTATAACACCTGTCCAATATGTAAAAAGTAATACAAATTGATGATCAGACAATCCAAATATTTGTCCAGATATAAAAATGGCTTAAATTCAATTTTTCCTTTAGTTATTAAACTTACTGTTAAAATCATAATTACAAAAACATTTTATTAACAGATATCATTTTAAATTAGGATTTAATTTTTTATATCACTATTTAAAAAACAAACACCATCAGATATCAAAACTTTTGAATAATAATTTCATATAAAAAAATTTCTAGTGCTATATATTTACAGAGGGTATTCCATAGTCATTAAAACATTTGAACGAGAATTGGGCTTTGCTTTCACTGGTCTATCCATAGAAGGAGAAGGGAGGCTATCTTCTATGGCTTTCCTGTGCTAAGCCCTTTTCCAGGAAAAAAAACAGTGTAAAACTAGCACATTTTCATCTTTTTGAAAAACCTTTAAAAGAGTTTAAAATGACATAAATGAGAACAATTCTAAGCAATTAATAATCACTGATATATCATTAGCTCTTTTCTTAAAACAATTGGTAATATAATAATAGTTTATACTGTAACAGAAATTACATGATAAAGACGAATGACTACAAGTAAACAAGAATTTATAAGACAGCCTCTGTAAAGTATGATTGTCATTATCAATATAATAAGTTTGTTATTTTTCTTCCTGCATTTTGCATTCTTATAAAACAAGAAATGTATGTGCAGAAGTAAAAAAACTTTTTTAGATTTTGCAGATCTCTAGAAAAATAAAGAAAGCTNCTTAGAAACTCAATTATCTCAGTTCTTCAATGTCCTTGAATGAGGTCCTTGATCTTCATCCACCTCTCATTCCTTTTAATTTTACCTTCAAAAATAGCTTTTTTACATTTTTATGCCTTGTCTCTAAAGGTTTTAGTTTTTATCATCTTTCCTTCATGGCTAGCATAAAATCACTTCAGTAATCATAGTTTTATTCCAGTAATATCTTAAAAATGATGAACTTTTCGAACAGCTTGAATGGAACAGATTCAAGTGGAACACACAACTGACCTGAAGTACGACAGTCAAACTGTTCGAAAATGTTTGTCATTTTTAAGATTAATATTACTGGAATAAAACTAAGATTACTAAGGAGATTTATAATTAATAAAATTGTTATCAATTTCAAATACATCAACATTTATAAATAAAGTTTATTTGAACAAATACAGAATTATCATGTGGGAGGAGAATTGCATCATTGGTTGACAAAATACAGTACCAATGAAAGATATAAATGATTGGTATTGTAATCAAACAATGTGAGAGAGATGAACAGAATGACAAAATAATTTGTCAATTACAATTTGAATTTAACAGTTTTTCCATCCTTCATACATGAAATTTAATAAAGTTCAGAGATTTAGATATGAATACATATATTAATATTTTCTAATGTATGTTTACCTAAATATTACAATATAAGCAATAGAATATCTGGAGTATCTGGATTAGTCCTTCTAAATACATTATTCAAATAAACAATAATTAAGATAAAATTGTGAATATTAATAAAACTGAAAACTGGATTATACAAACATACATATGAGCAGTTCTCATAATTCAACAGTATAACTGTTAATCATCTAAAAATATTTAGTTAAAAAGATAATTTAACAGTATTTTCCAAGCTTTTGAATTATTAAATAATTTCAGCTTGGAACATTGAGCAGTTTTTTTATGCAATAAAATATAATTTTGCCAACTGCATATATAATACTCTAGGTTTGCAAAATCTGGATTATATGTACAGTTGGCAAAACTATTTTATAGCAAATTCAGCCAATTAAAGTTAACTGTAATTTACATTTAATGCCTCATACAAATATTTTTTAAAAAAATCTAAAAAAAGTGTAATTAAACATTTTAATATTATGAATTAATTTAAAAATTTTATTAATATAAATAAAATATATTGTCAGATTGAGTAACTGCTTAGTTTTTCTAGTATGTTAAGCTTAATTAAATTAAATTATTTTTAGGATAAAAATATTTGCTTCAGTTTTCAGTTCATTATTAAATGTTAATTTTTTAGAGGTAAAAAAGTATTTTTAAAAGTAAGTACTGTAATTCAATAAATTTTATGAAGTAATCATCTTGAAAACTTTTCACCTAATGAACCAAGTGAAAATAACTTGATAATTTTAAAATCAGTAACTTAAAGTTATATAATTTCAATCAATAATTTGAAGTAATTTGTTAAAAATATGATAAAATTATTCAGCATTCTAAACTTTTCTATCAATTTAATCAGTTTAAAACATTGGAATACTTAATTCTATTAAAATATATATTCTTTGATTATTATAATAAAGCAATTTAAATCATCATTAATTCAATTCCACAATCAAAACACAACATATTTGAAATAGTTTTAATAAATTATAATTTCAATTCATATTTAAATATTCACTTTTAATGATAAATAACCTTAAATTATACATAATTATATTACCATCTATATTCTATTATTATATATACAAAATAAATGCCACTAATTTCATTAAAAATTGGTAGCATTTATTAAAAATTTTGAAATTTACCTTACTTTGAATTAAATTTTCATTAATTCATTAGGGATCAAACTCAATTTAAAAGTAAATTTGATTAAAATATTTCAGGACATTTTATAAATACTTTCAGATTAAAATTTATCTTGGAAATATTAAATCAAATACTGTATGATTTAATTCATTAATTGTAAAATTTACAGATAACAAGCATTGATTCAAATATTTTTAAGTTTTATGATATGATTAATGAATTTTATTTTTAGCTGAAAATTAAATCTAGTAATTATTGAAAGTCTTTAATAAGAAATGTCAGAGACATGAATTTTATATAACCTTATCAATCAATCTGGCAATTTTAAATTATGCTGACACGTAATATTTATTTTGATTATCCATCAAAGCATAGACATTTATCAAACTGGTGTTTTATTCATATTAACTAAAAATCTACTTTTCACAAACATTAAAAAATTTTTGTTTTAAAAGCTTTCACAGATTTTTTTTAAGAGTTGCAAATGAAAAAAATATTTACTTATTTCTTAAATTTATGCATCACTAACTGCAGTGTGTAATCATCAGTGTGTAGAAATATTCAAAAACAACACTACTGTAAAATATTTTCTATTTTAAAAACAGTTTATAGCATAATTCAAAACACTTTCAAATTGCTGACAAACTATTTCATTCTTCAAATGTTCCATGTTTTCTTTATAGTGGAATCAATTAAATTTCAAGAAAATCACATTAATATATGTATAAATAGTAAAATTTATAATATAATATAGGCCAACATTTTGTCTACTTAATATCTTAATAATAATGCTGAATTTTTTAAGTTTCTTCAATATAATTCTGAAAGTAAAATATCCTTCAAAACTTAATTTTGTAGTAGTACATTATTACATGTAATAATTATTATACAATCATTTCAATTATTTTTCATAAAATGTATTGTGTATTCAATTCAGAATGAAATTTAAAATATTAACATTTCTTAATATTAAATATATATGAAATTTTATTAAATGTTTAAATTGCATAAGTGACTGTAATTTAAAAAACTAAATTTGAATGAAATTTATGATAAATTTTATAATTTTTAAATTGCATAGAACTTTCATAGTTGCAAATATTTTTTTAATATGTTTTAACAGAAACAAAGGAAGGAAGAATGCCAGGAAGGAACAGATATGATAGCATGATAAAACATCTTAACATTACAAAATATATAAACATCTACCTCCCCTACCTATTGTATAATTATTTCATATAAAGACTTCTTAAATGAATAATAATAAAACCATCTCTCTATTGAAAACTACCTTCTCTACCTCTCCTGGAAACATGCTGTTATGAATCTAAATAGTGCTCCACTACTTTTACAAATTCTTAGAAACTCAATTATCTCAGTTCTTCAATGTCCTTGAATGAGGTCCTTGATCTTCATCCACCTCTCATTCCTTTTAATTTTACCTTCAAAAATAGCTTTTTTACATTTTTATGCCTTGTCTCTAAAGGTTTTAGTTTTTATCATCTTTCCTTCTTTGCTTTCATAATAAATTTTAAAACGGATTTTAAAAAATCTATAATCTTTATTAACTTAATGCAGATAAGTCAGCTTTGTTATTCTCGAAATTATAAATTTGAAACTTTAACATGAAAATTCAATATTTCAACACTTTATAACAGTTAATTTTGAAAAATATAGCATATCATTTTAACATTTAATTGAACTAATACAAAATAATATATCAATGCTTTCTAATAGACATTGTTTTAGTGAACCATTTTGAATCAAATCACATCATCAGCATAATAATTTATCCATCAATCCATATATAATATCAACTGAAAATAATCATAATAATATAAGGCTAATTAACAATCTAAGTTAATGACAGCATAATAATAAACATCCATGTACAATAGTAGAATTCAATCCTCTAAAAAACTGTTCCCTCTAAATACTGTTCATTGTTTAGCACAAAACAGAAATCATTAAATTTTTTAAATATTTCTCAATTTATATTAATTACAACCAAAATGAAACGAAATATTCCTATAAAATAATGAAAATAAATTACCCTCAATAAATCTATTTGGTTAATGCATTTGGTTAAATCTTTCATAGATTTTTTTTTCTAATGCCACTGAAAAAAATCATATTTTTTTCATTTAGTTTCAGATTCTTTTTTGATGAATACATTTTCTGTGCAATGTAATTTACATTTTGAAGATTATTTTATATTAAATTTCTCTTATTCTCAAACACAATCATCCCAGATGACACATGGTAACTTTGTGCTACTAACAAGTTCCTTATAATCATCACACAGCAGATAAAAGTTGATTTTTCAAACAATACTTGAAAATGTAGAAAATAAAATATAGTTTTAGAAAAGCACGTTTGCCCTAAGGATGCTTTTGACACAACTCCAGAGAGAATTAATAGATACAGCTATTAAGAGTGACACTTATCAGTAGTAAACGGACGAAAATTTAGATCGCTAAATTCAGAAGTATGCGATATAAAAGTAGTTACATCTTTGCAGTCACTACTTAAATCAAAACGAATATAGGCACATTTTTCATTTATATATTTTTAGTTTATTCGCACTAAAAAGATATAACCACGTCTAACATTATCCAGTCGGCACTTTCATTAACTATAGCGAAAAAAAAAAAAGTTTTTTACGCAGTGCCAATATAGTTTATTTCGAAGATGATAACTTTCAGCATCCGACTTCATCCGAAAATCCTACAACGGTGATGTCATCGAACGGATCAACAACTTTTTACGACGAAAGTCGCGAATAATAATAATATTATAATAAATTCGTATTTTATATCATTATTTTTAATATAACATTAAAATATTATATTTTTTTAAATTAAAAAGAAATTTATATAATTAAAAAATTAATACATATTTTAATATTACATCTATTAGTTAAATATCCGGCTTGTGTTATATAAATTTTTATACGTACCTCTTATAGAGATATTAATTACCGAATACTTTCTACATAAAAGATCTACTCATGAGAAAACGGACTTGTAAAGCGGGAGTACGGGTTCGACGAGGTCGAAAGATACGAATTGAGCATGCGCAAGCGCGCGCCCGTTAAAGTTACTGGGAATCCACCCTTGACCATGTATGGAGTGTCTTTACACCATGTGCCTACGTTTCAATCACGGTAGACAGCGTGTTATATGCCAACTTAAAGATGAAAATACCGTTTATATTGCATTTGCAATCCAATGCATCATCTCTAAACTTTAACAAATGCCTACGCTCTTCATCACGTGTTGCGCAATCCTGTGCCAATTGTGACGCTTTTAGAATTTGCATCCGTCTAATTATAAAAGATGAATTGTGAATAAAAATTCATAAAAAAATGTAAATTTAACAATACTAAATAATTGTGTTGATGATTAGAATGATTTATAATATTTTTACACTGCAAAATCTAGTTAATTTTTAAAACTGCTTTTCTCTATTATCTTAGTTAGTCGAACAACCTAATTTAGAAATTTCTCTAAATTTGGATTGTTGGGAAAAATAACGTTTATCCGTTCAACAACCTTAATTACGTTTAAATTTAATGAGACAAATTCCCTTGATCTATTCTTATACTAACTTATACTTTTTCATGATTTAGTATGTTTAACTGGGAAAATGCCCAGGTGCCTAGAATGTTGATCCAAGATGAAAAATTACACTGAATGAATGTTTTGTTAGAAATTTTGCTAGTTTATTTCGATATAAGCTTAAAATCGTAAACTCTGTGCTTATATATTCTTCCTTTTTATCTATTTTACTTCCTATTTTTTTATTTCACATAGTAATGAATGGCTTTTACCATCAGATCAGAAAAGATATAATCCTAATTAATAAATAAAATAAAAAAATCAAATACTTATTCTAGTTAATCATTATATATTGCCTAAATCATACATAACAAGATCATATAAATTATTTTATAGAGAATAGATGTGTAGTATTAACCACTAACTGATTTATTACTTTATTAATTAATTTTTATTAATAGATTTCTTGTATATTGCTAATATATAAATCTACAGGTTTTTTTTATAAATTTTAATTCATAAATAAAATAAAAATAATTAAATGTATTAATAAAATAAAAAAAGTTACTTTAGAAAACAATATAAAACAGATTCAAACTTATATTTCAGTTATATTAATATACAGTATTTAATATTAAGTTTTAAACAAAGCTTTTATAACTCAAATTTAAATTTACGAGTTTTACAATTACGACGAAGAAAATTCTGCTTTTTGGTTTATTAATAGAACTTTCTATTGTGTAGACCTATGCCTATCTATAGGCGCACGTGTAAGCTACTTAAATTTTCGTAAAATTTGATTTTTAAAAATAAATATTTGAACTGACTCATAATATATATAAAACATCTTTTAAAGTTTCAAATGTGATTAATTCTAAATTCTTAATAACTCTTCTCTATCCAAAAAGAAAAAGAAAAAAAATTCTTGAGTCTATTTTCTTTCTGAGAGCTTGTTTACATTGTTTTATCGAATATTTTTGTATATTTTGATCGATTGGAAAAAAATGAAATGTCTAAAGTCGATCGATTTTTGTTCGTGTCATTTTGGAAATATTTCTCTCTTCAGAAATAAATTGCTTCTTGAACATTTTAGGTAATTTATCATCAACTTTAAATAAAGATTATACATAGAAATTCTAAGTCTATCCTACTATCATATATCTTTATTGTAAATTGATATAACTATCAAATTTTTCCATATTTTAACTTTTAATAATACGTATGTCTGGATAGATTTACAAATCTAAAATTCTTGTAGATGATATTCAAATACGTAGTGTAATTTTAACTATTAATTTCAAATTAAGTTATAATTAAATTTTAGAATAATTGTAAGATAATTTATTATTCTTTATATTGTTATATAAAATTAAGATTAATCTATCGAAAACAAAGTTGAATATAACTTATGTTCTACTCTGATCAATTAAAGTTTAATTTATTTTTTAACATTATTAAAAAATGCTAAAACTTTAAAATGTTTTCGTTTAGAGCAAGGCACCCCCTAAAGTGGTCGATAAGTAATTTTTGGAGTTGATTGAAAAGGGTTTATTAAAAATTATTAGTCCAATGGGCTATTTATATGATAGTTTAGGATGTAAATTTTCATACTTTACGTAGATCTTTTCTATAAAACGGTGTGGATTTACTTATTTTTAAACTGTATAAGAAAAAAGAAGGGGTCGATAAAAGTTCGAGGAATCTTTGAAGAGGTCGACAGTGAAAAAAGTTTGGGCATTCCTGATTTAGAGCGATAATATTATTTCGTGTTAGGCTATATAAAATATTAACATTAATATTAAGAAATAAAGTTAGTATTTTTCTAAAAATTAAATTATCAATGCGAATATAAAAATAACATTTTCTTTTAATTCTTTATAAGCAAAATTGTACAGTAGCATCGAAAATTGAATCCGCATGATTGAGAATTGAACTTGTATACATGTTCTGACTCAAAAAGCGTTCCGCTACCAGTATTTTTTCTATCAATGAAAAGATATACAGGTCATTATACATCAGCTTTGACGTCTAGCGTTAATTAATCAATCAATCAAATCAGCATTGAAATAATAAAATTTTTAATTTTTAATTAAAACTCTTTCTGCATCATGGGTACTAAGAAAGTCTTGTTTCATCTCATCGTGAGTTCAACCAGGTTCACATAGGAACAGCTGGGTACAGACTGTCTATGAAAAATATTCCCGTTTCCTGACTTGAATTTGAACCCAGGTCCCCCAAAATGACAGGCTCCTCTTCGCAGGTCGTAAAAATACGATTAATGATCGATGTGAAAATAGAGTAACTTAGTAATTTACCAACCAAATAATGTATCAGCATGATCTTGAGCTTGTTAGTTCGAGATCACAATTGTCGTATGAATCGCATTCAAAATTGATTTTTAATATTATTTGACTGTTTTAAAGGTATTTATTACTATTAATTTACCTACTATTGCTAATTTTTTNTTATATATATAATTTGTAAAAATTGATAAATATTTCATATTAAACAACTTAGTTTGTTTATTTTATTGATTTCAGAAATAAAATTAAAATTGAAAATCATTGAAACTTAATAAAACTGTGATACATTAATAACCTTTAAAATACATTGAAGACTCAATTAAAACTTTCACACAAATTAAATAAAACTTTCTAAAATTTTAGGTAAGAATTATAAAATACTTACTTGGATTTTCTAATCTATAATGTGACTCCGGTTCTGCATGTTTAGTGTACAAAATTTGACTTGAAACATGTTCTGTCAAAATCTATAACTTTTCTTTGCTAAAATATTAAATATTTATTGAAAAAATGCTATTTTCGCATGAAACAAAATATATTTGTTATTTCAGGTATTAGCCTATTTAGTTCGTTCGCGATATATTGTTTGTTACAATTTGATTTTTCTACCTTATAAATGTTTTCAAATAGAGTTAAACAATTTCTTATTGCAGGGATAAAACTCGAAAAATCGAGTTGGGAATATATGGGCCAATTGTACTTCTTCCAGAGATATTCTGAGAGAACGCTGTAGGTTGTAATTTGATTCCCGTAATGGCTTCATTTTATTACTTAACTAATCTTTAAGGAATGAAATGACTTTCTGGCAAAAATCTGTACTTTAAACTGAATGGTTATATGTGAAGACTCTTTTACTCTTTCTGTTTTTCTAAACTGCCCTTTTTTTAATCATGTCCACTGTAGGTTAGACCAGACCCACAATGGAGGCGGCCTGGTGGTAAAAGATAGTCTATATCAGGAACTGACCGCCAATAAAAACTTCTGGAGAGTTGCTCGCCCCGATTGGATTCTGGGTCCACTTGTCTATAGAGTGGTAGGCTGAACCTTAATCACCAATGTCAACTACCCGGCAATATATAGGACTAGAGTTGCCAACTTTATGAAGCTTGAATAAAAGAAAAAATATTTTTTCGTTTTACAGAACTATTGTGGCGCTATTCGTTAGACAATGCATCCGCCACATCTGTGCTCTGAGACAGCATAGCGGACATGTTTAGATTTTTATATTTTAGGTTCAGTTATGTTAACCTAAGTATTAAAGCTAAACTAGATAACCTATAATACAATTGCCTAATCCAGCGTTTCCCAACCTGTAGTTTATACCTAGGGAAACCGTGTGCGTTAAGAAATCGGTGATGGCTGCATATTTAATTTTAAATTGGCATTTTTTTTCAATTTATATTTAGATAATTCAAAATTTTCTACATTCAAGTTTTTAAAAGCTGCTAACTTTAATTTAATGTTTTTATATACAGTACTGTACTTTACTATATTTTATACATTTCTGAAGATCTTGATTCAGTTACAGTATTATAAAATTGTGTGAGGCTTCTCTAGATGGCTATGAGCACGTGAGCCATGCAAAGATGCCAAACACAGTTTTCTATCCATTTTTGAAGGTATTTAGTTTACCGGATGCTCGGGCAATTAATAAAATTGTAATAATTTTAACTATATGCAGTCAAATCGCAATTTCAACATAAAAACTGTCTAGATTCAATAGAAATTTAATAGATTGCGAAGTTGAATATTCTTGATTGAGTCTACTGGATGACTGCGTTGATAATAGCCGAAAAAAAAATCGAATTATAATATTATCTGAATTCTTTGATATTTTGCGGATAATAGGGATCGAGTATTGTTCCCCATCTATCT